GCATAGTCCACTCCATCTGCATGAATTCGGGCGACTTGCCCTAAATCTCCTAAAACTTTACGGGCCTATAATCAATGGCCTAATGAACAATAGCATCGCGTCGCTATAACCATTCCTTATTTTTTGACATTTTAGGGTCATAAAATTGGAATTCTGGATAATTCCCAAATTTTCGCGTGCTATGGTCTACACCATCCGCATGAATTCGGGCAACCGTCCCCGAATCTCCTAAAATTTTGCGGGCCCATAAATGACCTAATCAACAATAGTCATCAGTTCTCCATGATCGTTCCATATTTTTGCGTTTTAGGACCATAAAACAGGAATTCAGGATGATTCCCAAATTTTCGTGTGCTATAGTCCATGCCACCTGCATGAATTTGGGAGACCGACCTCGAATCTCCTAAAAATTTACTGGACCATAAAAAACAACCTAATGAACAATGGTGACCGTTCCTCATTTTTTGGCATTTTAGGGCCATAAAATAGGAATTCAACACGATTCCTAGATTTTTGTGTGCTATAGTCTAAGCCATCTGCATGAATTCGGGCGACCAGCTTTGAATCTCCTAAAATATTGCAGTCCATCAAAAATGACCTAGTGAACAATAGCCATAGCTTCGCCATGACCGTTCCTCGTTTTTTGACATTTTAGGACCACAAACTAGAAATTCAAGACGATTCCCAGATTTTCGTGTATTACATCTACGCCATCTGCATGAATTCGGGCGACCAGCCCCGAATCTCCTAAAATTTTGTGGGCCCGTAAAAAGCAGCCTGATGAACAATATTCAGCGCTTTGCCATGACCGTTCCTTATTTTTGGCATTTTAGGGCCATAAAACAGGAATTAGGGACGATTCACAGATTTTCGTGTGCTATAGTCCCCACCATCTGCATGAATTCGGACGACCATCCCCGTGTCTCCTAAACTTTTGTGAGCCTATAAAAAATATCCTAATGAACAATAGTCATCTCTTCGCCTTGACCAAGTCTTTTTTGTCTTTTAGGGCCATCAAATTAGAATTCAGGGCGATTCCTAGATTTTTGTGTGCTATAGTCCACGCCATCGATGAATTCGGGCTAGCGACCCCCAATCTCCGAAAATTTTGCGGGCCCATAAAAACAGCCTAATGAACAATTATTATCGCTTCACCATGTCTGTTCCTTGTTTTTTTGTGTTTTGGGCCATAAAAATGCAATTCAAGACGATTATCAAATTTTCGTGTGCTAATAATTCATGTCATCTGCATAAATTCGGGCGACCATTTTCGAATCTTCTAAAATTTTGCGGGGCCGTAAAAAATAGCCTAATGAATAATAGTAATCACTTCGCCATGATAGTTCCTTATTTTTTGGAATTTTAGGGCCATAAAACAGGAATTCAAGACGATTCCCAAATTTTCGTGTCTCAATCCATGCCATCTGCATGCATTCAGGCGATCAGTCTCGAATCTCCTAAAATTTATGGACCCTTAAAAAATCACCTAATGAACAATAGTCATCGCTTTGCCATGATTGTTCCTCATTTTTTAGCGTTTTAGGGCCATTAAACATGAACTCAAGACGATTCTCAAATTTTCATGTGCTATAGCCATCGCATGTATTCAGGCGAACGACCTCGAACCTCCTAAAATTTTGCGGGCTCATCATAAATCGCCCAATGAATAATAGTCATCACTTCATCATGACCGTTCCTCATTTTCTCGTATTTTAGGGCCATAAAATAGGAATTCGAGATGATTCCCAAGTTTTCGTGTGCTATATCCACGCCATCTGCATGAATTCGGGCGACCGGCCCGGATCTCCTAAAATTTTACGGGTACATAAAATATAACCTAATGAACTATAGTCATCGCTTTCCCATAACCGTTCCTCATTTTTTAGCGTATTAGGATTATAAAATGGGAATTCAGGATGATTTCCAAATCTTCGTGTGTTATAGTCATCGCCATCTGCATGAATTCGGGCAACGGGCCCCGAATCCCTAAAATTTACGGGCCCTAAAAAATGGCCTAATGTATAATAGTCATCGCTTCACCATGATCGTTCCTCGTTTCTTGGCGCTTTAGGGCAATAAAACAGAAACTCATGACGATTCCTAGATTTTCGTGTGCGCCGGCTGCATAAATTTGGGTGACCGGCCCTGAATCTCCTAAAGTTTTGCGGGCCTATCGAAAAATGACATAATGAACAATATTCATCCCTTCGCCATGATCGATCCTCATTTTTTGGTGTTGAGGACCATAAAATAGGAATTCAGAACGATTCCTAAATTTTTGTGTGTCATCTGCATGAATTCAGGCGAGTGGCTTTGAATCTCCTAAAATTTTGCGGACCCATAAAAAATGACCTAATGAACAATAGTTATCGATTCGCCATGATCATTCCTTGTTTAATATTGTTTTAGGGCCATAAAATAGGAATTCAGGAAGATTCTACGATTTTCGTGTACTAATGTCCACGCCATCATCATGAATTCGGGCGACGGATTTCGGATCGGCTAAAAATTATTGGGCTCATCAGAAACAACCTAATGAACAATACTCATTGCTTTGCCATGACCGTTCTCGTTTTTGGCATTTTAGGACCCTAAAATCAGAATTTAGGACGATTTTTGATTTTTCGTGTGCTAATGTCCACGCAATTTTCATGAATTCGGGCGACGGACTTCGAATCGCCTAAAATTTTGTGAGCCCGTTAGAAACGAGCTAATGAACAATATTTTGGAATTTCATGTTTTCAAATTGCATGAACAAATAATAATCGAATTTCGATTTTGAATTTGAAAGTTTGTAATTAGACAGTACAAACAATTAATTGTATTTACGCAATGGGAATTAAATGATCAACCGACATGACCTCTTAATTACCTGCATATTTAGAAATATGGTTCAAATACTTTTCCATGATTTTGTTGTCAAACTTAGTATCAAATTTGTTTCAGGGTCATCAACCTTATTAATCGTTAATATTTTTAGGCCATTGAATAAATAAATGAAGGGAGCTCTCCCCCTACTCTCTCCAGGCGCACGATAGTAGTGAATAATAACGTACGCCCTTGCCGGAATGGCTAGGGCCCGGGCGAGGAAGGCTGCGAACAAGATCGAACTATCGAATGTGAAGATAAAGTGAATCGACGATTTGTTGAGCAAGATGAGGTAGGGCACAAGGAGGGGTGTAGGGGAGAAATGAGTTCCCAAATCAATACATCTCCAGCAAAATTGGTGGCTGCCCAAAAGCCTACACCACCTCCTCAAGTAGCTCCGCCACTCAATTTGACCAGCGACACACCAAAGGACCAAGTAATTCAGCAGGTAACTCCATGGACAGCACTGCCGAGTCGAAATTCCATAGCCGAAACTCCAGAATTTGGGGTGGAGGTAACGCAAAGGGGGACAGAACTTGAAACAAGAGCAACGAAAGCCAAGGACGATGAATAAAGGGAAACCCTAGAAGGGGGGACCCAAGGTGCGCAACGACGATTAGAACTGGGACATGAGGAAAGGGATAAACAACCATGGGTGAATTTATTTGAAGGCAACAAATATGCATCCAGAGGAATGAACTTCAGCTACATCGCACCTACAATTCAAGACGGAATCAAAATTGTGGAACTGGAAAAGGAGGAGGTTGATGCAGAGACGAAAAAAAGGAGGAGGGCAGTCATATTCTATGTTGTGGGTGAATCCACCACAATTGGGGCAGTGGAAAGATTCATAGCAAGTCAATGGAAGATAGTAGAGAAAACAACGGTATATTATCACAATAAGGGCTACTTTCTCATTCATTTCCACAGTATGGAGGACCGGAGTAGAGCTATGTCATCAGCCCCAAATACCATTAACAACAAGCCGATAATTGTGAGGGAATGGACAGCGGATTTCAATTTCAAGTAAGAAATGCTGAGCACACTACCAGTATGGATAAGAATCCCTAATCTACCAATGAATCGTTGGGTGTCAAGTCCTTAGCAGAATTGCGAGCATTCTTGGTGTGCCTATCTATGTAGATGATTGCACTACTAGAATTGATAGGATTTCCTATGCAAGAGTGATCATAGAGATAGACATCACAAAAGAACTACCGGATAAGGTAGTAGTAAGGGATCCAAATGGAAGAAGTTTTGAACAGGAAGTGACCTATGATTGGAGACCAATATACTGCAGCACATGTCTACAACTGGGGCACAAATGCCAGGAGAAGGAGAAGTATGAACAAGCAAATGAGAAGCCCAAAAAAGTGAGGAGGAATGCCCCCAAATTCAGGCAGGAATGGCAAGGAAAAGGGGTAGTACAAAATGAGAAAAAGAAAGGAATAATGGAAGCAACAAAGAAACCAAATGAAGAACCAGAAAAGCATGCAAGTATGAAGGTAGGGGACAGCAATATGAATGAAGGATGGATAGAAGTAAGGGGCAAATCAGCAGGAAAGAGTCAAGCAATGATGAATATGAATGAAAACATGCAAACCAGAAATGGTTTTGATCCACTAGAAGCAAGTGATCAGCAGCAGATTGCACAACCAAGTGTAGCAATAGAAGTAGGACAGTGTAGTGTGAACAGAGGGGAGATACATCAACAACCTTCCAGTGTACGATAAAATTAATCACATGGAATGTTAGAGGGTTGAATAAGCTGTATTAGCAGAAGGAGTTAAAGGATTTTCTAAAAATAAATAATGTAGGTATTATCTCAATAGTGGAGCACAGAGTAGTAGAGGAGAATGCTAAGAGAATTATAAATAAATAGCCCCCTAGTGGGTTTGTGCCACAATTATGGCACAAGCACAATAGGATTTGGATTCTATGGGATACAAACAAAGTTAAGGTTACAATAGACTATACACATACACAGCTAATACATGGACAGGTATGTATGGGACACAAACATGAAATTTATCTTTACAGCTATATATGGTTTACATACAGTAGGTGATAGGAAAAGTCTATGGCATGAATTAAGACAACTACATAATGTGCAACATGGGCCATGGGTTGCAATGGGAGATTTTAATGCTGTGTTGACAGAACAAGATAGAATCAATGGGACTCCAATATATGAGAATGACACTGTTGACTTTAAAGAGTTTATCCAAGACTGCAATATGGCTGAACTAAGAAGTGTTGGGGCACAATTCACATGGTCAAACAATACAGTAAGTAGTAGGATAGATAGAGGGGTGGGGAATGCAGAATGGATGCTTGCTTACCCACTACTGCATATAGTAATCATGGCTCCGTATTTCTCAGACCATGCTCCATTGGCAATCGTCCTAACAGAGCAACAAAGCAAAAGATATAGACCATTCAGGTTTTTTAACTTCATTGCGGAACATGCAAAATTTCAACAAAGTGTGGAGAAAGGATGGAAAAGTATCAACAAGGGAGATCACATGGAGAATATATGGGGCAAACTGAAAAAGTTCAAGCAGGAGATCAAAAAAATCAACACAACGCAATATTCAGGAATCGGGGACAAGATAAAGAGTTGCAGACAACAATTAATGGAAGTGCAAGAGGATCTAAGGATTCAAAGAAACTCCAATGAACTCAAACAGGTAGAGAAAATGATCAGAGAGAAGCTGGAGAAATGGGTACTAATTGAAGAAAGCGTTATAAAGAAAAAATCCAAGAATTAGTGGCTGCAACTAGGGGACGACAATACATCCTACTTTGTTTCAACCATGAAAAGCAGAATGGCACAAAATAAGATCAGAACTCTGGTGGGTGATCGAGGTAATCTGATAGAAGGGGAAAATGATATATAGGAGCAAATTCTTGGTACTACAAACAACTTCTAGGAGAAGCTGCTATTGCACTACCTGTAATCAGTCCACAAGTCATGAAAGATGGCCAGTGCTTGACCAGGGAAATGCAACTAAAGCTGATTGAACCAGTATCCGAATTGGAGGTAAGGAATGCACTCAAAGATATAGATGACAACAAGGCTCCAGGATGTGACGGATTTAATGCTGTATTTTTCAAGAAAGCCTGGAACATCATAAGAACGGAGATAACAGCAGTGATACAATTCTTTGATACCAGGAGAATGTATCTACCTATTAATTGCACCATAGTCACTCTAATACCAAAGGTCAAGAACTCTTCTACTGTCAAACAATTCAGACCCATTTCTTGTTGCACTATAGTGTATAAACTGATATCAAAGATCTTAACCAAGAGGCTACAAGGAGTTATGAATTACATGGTTGATCAGAATCAAGCAGCCTTTGTCCCAGGTAGAGTGATCTCTGACAACATTATAATTAGCCATGAGCTAGTTAAAGGATATAGCAAGAAAGGAGTTTCCCCTGCGTGTATGGTGAAAGTAGACATGCAGAAGGCATACGACTCATTAGAATGGCCTTTCCTGTAACAAGTACTCAGTGCTCTGAACTTCCCAAGACTGTTCATAAAGTGGATAATGACATGTGTTAAAACTGTGTCGTACTCGATCATTATAAATGGGAAACCTTGTACACCATTTCCAGCCAAGAAGGGTCTAAGACAGGGGGACCCAATGTCCCCCTTCTTGTTTGTGAATGTCATGGAGTACCTAACCAGGAAACTTAAAACTCTACAGAGAAATCCAGATTTTAATTTCCACCTAAAATGTGCAAAGATGCAGATTATACAATTGAGTTTTGCTGATGATTTGTTCCTTTTCAGTAGAGGAGATATGGGATCAATACGACTGCTCATGGATTGTTTCAATGAATTCTCAAGGTGTTCTGGTCTGATAGCAAATAAAGATAAAAGTTTCATTTACTTTGGAGGTGTCAGTAGAGAAATGCAAGAGGAGATACTAGCAGCATCTGGATTTGCCAAAGGGGAATTGCCAATCAGATATCTTGGAGTTCCGTTGAGCTCTAAACGAATTTCAATAGTACAATGCAAACCAATGCTAGAGAAAATGATAGGGAGGATTACTTCATGGACTATAAAATTCCTATCATATGCTGGACGACTTCAGTTGATAAAGAATGTACTCTTCTCAATCCAAGTCTTCTGGTCACAAATCTTTGTGCTACCAAAGAAAATTGTTAAGGTGATAGAAGCAACATGCAGAAGTTTTCTATGGACAGGCACATCTGATATATGAAGAAGAGCACTACTAACAAGGGAAAAAGTATGCTGGCCAAAGACAGCAGGTGGATTTAATGTATTGCATCAGGAGACCTGGAACAAGGTTGCTGTGATTAAACTACTGTGGAACCTATGCACAAAGAAAGATAAGATGTGGGTAAGGTGGGTCCACATATACTATGGGAAAGGAAGAAATATTTGGGAAGTTCAAGTCAACCAAGCCTCCTGGGTTCTAAACAAGATACTAAAAGCTAAAACATATCTGTCAAAGGCAGGGTTGTGCATCACTGATCTGCTGAAAATGAATTCATACTCCATAAAAGTGATGTACAATCAGTTGAGAGAAGACTATCCTAAAATGCCAGGAAGGAAACTAACTTGTAACAACTATGATGTACCTAGGTGGGGTTTTATACTAAACCTAGCACTACAATCAAGGCTACATACCAAAGACAGGGTAGCAGGTTGGGGATTGATGATTGATCAAACATGTGAGCTCTATAAGGAAGAAAATGAAACCATGCAACATCTATTTTTTGAATGCAAGGTGACTAGAGAGGTTTGGGAAAGATTATTGAAATGACAGGGGATTCAAAGATCCGTAATGACAAGGAATGAAGAAGTGGAATGGGCAACAAAGGAAATGAAGGGAAAAACACCGAAGACAGAAGTATATAGAATGACATTAGCAGGTTGCATCTACTACATATGGACAGACAAGAACTCCAGAATATTCAAGGCTACGTCTCAGCATGTAGAGGGGATACTTAGATCATTAGTTCAGGACATCTTTCAGAGAGGCAACAGGAAAACTAAGATAAAATGTAGATTGAGAGAGCTTAATAGTTATCCATAGGCGTAAAGAGATATAGATATAGTGAGGAAGATAAGATGATCACTGCAGTTGGGGCTTCATGTCCAACTTGCAGGCAATAGCTCAGTGGTTCTCCAGTTTTTTCTAGTTTTGAACTTGTACATATTAATACTTGGTATAGTAAAATTCTTTAATTACCAAAAAACAATTATTTTTAACTTTGCGGAAATTGAGTTTGGGAGGAATTTCCTGCATTAGAGCTTATTTTCTTCTTCTTAAAATGAAAAAAAGACAAAGAATTAGCATCAAGTTGTTTCTTTTTTCTTTTTTTTTTTGGGTGATATCGAAGGGGGTTTATTTTATAGGTGGTCGAACGGAACGTTTTTTTTTTTTTCAAAACTAATACTCCTAATGCTCACGGTAAAGTAAGACAAAACAAAAAGGTATGTTGATTCCTTAGTTATTGTCGAAAATTTTGATCTTAGTTTTTGTGATATTTGACTAATTATATTTAATGTTCAATAATTAAAATGTGTGATTTTGGTACTTTATGCATGAAATATGTTATATAAAAATAAGTTTTATATATATAGTTAATATTTAGTTATATTTTTAATGATTTGCAAAGCATCAGAATAAAAATGCACATTTTAATTAATTTGAAAATAAACTTAATTTATCATATACCATAGGGAACAAAATTTATCAATATTTCAAGAATTAAAAGCATAGATTTCCCAAACAATACAAACACATAATGTAACAGAAAAGGAAAATGTGGTCTACGTTTTATTTTGTTGGGTAATTGAATGGGAAAATTCTTAAAAACAACACTCCAAACCCTCCAAATTTTGGGGGGATGAGATGAAACAAAACAAATCCACAAAGAAAATTAAAAGATTTCCACAAGTGTAAAAGTGGAGAGAATGTAATCACATGATATTATAAAAAATCGCATTCATTTATCATAATAAAATATAAATTGAGGTGAAAATTAAATCATAATAATTTATCATCCTTTGCAAAATTGTGATGAAAATACAAAGTAATATAAAAGACACAAATAATTATTTGGAAGGGGAGCTTTGTAGCAACCGTAAAGTTGTCTCCGTGTGACCTGACTTCGAATCGTGGAAGCAGCCACTAATCAGATGCGGATCTAGGATTTCTAGTACATGGGTGCAGTACTTAAACAAAGGAGAAAAATATATTAAGTGGGAATTCATCCTTATTCATCTTGATAAATAATCTAATCTTTAACCAAGTGCACCATTCAACCTTTTTGTAGCATAAGTATCAACAGCTAATATTATACTAATTTTAAAAAATATATACATAAAATATTTAATTTTGCGGAGAGACCATGAGCTCGCGTACCCCATAATCTCCCCCAATAAATCCGCGTCTGCGACTAATGCTTGCATTAGATTAAACTGTCTATATCACACTCTAGGAAATGCGGTCATTTTTTGGACCCTACATGAACTACCAATACCTTGTATACTGGACTGCCACACATATAATTATTCATGTGATTTGATATGAACATGTTGCTAAATTTTGTAAAAACGAACAAAAGAGAACCCTTGGGGCCAACAAAAGAAAAAATCAGAAAAGAGAGGATTCGTTAGTAAATAACGAAGCTGATTTTGATCCTCACTTAGCTGTTACTATCAGGTGGTATTTAACTCAATCCAGTAAATCCAATTTGTCCTCCATCTCCGACGATATCGCCTTTTCTCCGACGATCGGCGTTTCAAGGCATGGATTCCGAAGCTGATTTTGATCCTCCTCCGTCTTTTGATAACGTGGTACATTTTCTACATATCTCACTTTTTTTTCCTAATTTCTTTCATTTTTGTTTTATTTCTCACCAGATCTGATTTTATACGTATGAATTTGTTAATTTTGAGGTGTGATCCGTCACTTTTGTTAGTTAGATATCATTAATTTCATTATTTTTTTCTAAACGGAGGTGTTATGCTTCGAGTGTTTTTTATTTGCTGAAATTTTGTGATACGAATATGTAAACAGTAATTGTTAATGTCGGAACTGGTGAGGAATTTAGAGAACTGTAGATTTATTCATTTGGATATACATTGATATGTATGAATTTTTGTTCTCCGGGTGTGATCTCACTTATGTTAGCTAGATATCATTTATTCCCCTGTTTATTTGGAGATGAAAGTGTTGTGTCGTTCGAGTTTATGTTAAATTTCTTTTGTGATAAGAATATGTAAACATTATTGTTGAAGTTTTGGCGTTGGTAATATAGAATGTAGAGAACCGTAGATTTATGTATTTGGATCTGCAGGAGGTTGTGTTGAAGTGCCACTTCTCTGTTTTGGACCGGGGTTTATTGCAGGAGAATTTGCTATGTGTTTTTGTTGGCCTGGTGGCAATAGACTTGAGCCTTGGGGTTTGCTCCCTTTCAAGGTCTCAAGTTCGAAACCCACTGGGTGCAAACAATTTCTGAGGGCCATCGGACTGGGTAAAACCTGAACTAACCGTGGTGCACTTGCGGGAAACTCCTTGCCGAGGGCCTGTGCACCCCCGGGATTAGTCGGGTCTCTTAGAGACTCGGACACCCGGTGCTAATCAAAAAAAAAAAAAAACCAAAAGTGTCTGAGATGATTTGGGAAGAGATGATTTTAATGGAGTAACGTGGTCAGTGAGGTTCTTCCTTGTTTTTCTCACAGCTTCTGTTTATGTTTAGCCACCAAAACAGCTGTAAAGCCC